ACACACACTACTATTTGGATAATTACGTCATAATCACCCGTTGCTCCCCCATCTCAAGTTGGAACAGGATCCACAAGAGCAACTCGACGTTGACCAGAGCTCTGTGCAGCATAAGGAATCGGAGGTATCCACACACACACACACACACACACAAACAAACGCACTCACAGAGCAGGATGTTAATGATATGCTTGAATCACTCACCATAACCAAGGCACACACTCCTACCCCTCTTCTAGATCCTAGGGCTAGGCACTCATAGACTTGTATTATGATAATATAATTTATACTATCCTAGATCATTTACTGCGATGTAATTCCTGTTGACTTTTGGGAGCTTCATTTATAATGATATTTATAAAGCGCATACCCACTCTCTGTAGCATGCTCTATGCGCTTTACAACTATTATTACCTTCTCAGCAGACTCAAGATCATTCAGAGGCACGGTCGACAGTGCAAGCTGCGGATTTCACGTGCTCGAACACTAACAAACTGACAAGGTCTTTTACTGTCTATAGACGGATATCCATTCCCACCTGGTCGAAGTGAGGGATATTCTTGTAAAGTGTCTTCCCCAAGGACACAATGTCGGGCCCCTTACGGGATTTGAAGCCATGACCTTATACCGGGTGCCCATTGGCACGATCGGGTCGGGTCTGGTCGGTTGGCTAGCCTGATTGAGGGCGCAAAGCGGCTGACTTGGCTCTCAAAACTGATTGCCCGACTCGTCGCTTAAAAAACAACCACGTTTGTTTTCAGGCGACGAGTCGGGCGATCCACCCGACCACGACCCCACCCGATCCCATCGCAGTGGGCACCCGGTTATACGTTTGCGGGTCTGAGAGGCCAGCCACGACTCCACATTTCATAGGATTAGACTCAAAATGGAATCAAGTGAAGGGCGGGGTTGGGGATTTTTAATTTTTTTTTTTTTTTTTTTTTTTTTTTTGGGGGGGGAGTGCTGCACGCACATGACATTAGCGAAACTGGGTGTGCGTTCATGGTGCACACGCTGCCCAACGAAATTGTTTTGTAGGGAGCAAATACCGGCGGCCATGACAGTGTATGATCTAGGATCTTATCATAATTCAAGTCTATGGGCTAGCCACCTCACCAGATTGTGTGCACTCCCATAGAATAGTAGTTTTTTGTGTGTTTTTTGTTTCTTTTTCGCAGCACCACTTCGCTTTTTTTAAAACTCGACTAAATTGAGCATGGATGTTGAGTTTGCACCGTTCAGCATCTTGCAGTAGTTGCAGTCGCAGTTTTCAGTTTTATCCCGTTGCAGACAATGCTTCTTAAAACACCACTATAAACCCCACAATGTTATAGTTTTTAACCTGGGCTATTTTAGCCATTTACTATTATTATAGTACATATTATAATGTAGGCCTATGTATATATCGCTTTAAAAAATGCTTTCTCAATATAAACTGCACAACCAAGTGAGTTCATGTCACTATTGTAAACTGCTATTAGTAGAACCTGTATTGATGACAACCTCTGCAAGACAAGCACCTGTACGACCGACCGCTTCCTAACCCTCCCCATCCCCTTTTATCGCCCCCTTTCTGCTTTTTTCTTTCTTTCTTCATTGATACTATTATTGTAATGACACTGTTCAAGAGAATCATCTTTCTAAGACGACCACTTTTCTTCTCCTTGACGATGGGTCATTGTACGACAGTAGTATGAGAGAGGGTGTGTGTATGCATGCATGAATGTGTGTGTGTGTGTGTGTGTGTGCGTGTGTGTGTGTGTTTGCACCTATATCTGTGTGTACGTGTTTGTATGTGCTTCTGTGTGTGTGTGTGCTTGTGTGTGTGTGTGTGTGTGTGTGTGTGTGTGTGTG